CCCTCCTACTGAAAAATTTGTGCATAACCATGTAAAGATATTGGAATGAGGATTTTAGCTTTGGCTGCTATTTCCTTGTTCCATATCCACATTTCTAGGACTCCAAGGATTAATACCACTCATAAGCCTTTTCAACGACCTCAAACGCGAAGGGGCAGGCGATTTTTGGTCTTCCTCTTCGTTAACCTGTCTTGGAATGTCAATCACAAGCATTCCGTCTGGCCTATTAATTGTGGAGACCGATGATGACGAACAAGGGGGCCGAGAGGAAGCAGCAGTAGCAGTATCTTGATGACTATCCTCCAAACAAGGTCTAAAGGTACTAACTTGAGTCTCATTTCCACAAAACAACACATTGGTGGGAAAATTTGGTCGCTGGCCTGGATTTTCTTCAATGGGGACTACGGTCTCTTCGGGACTACTAGAATTCGACGAGGATTCATTCTGATTCGGAATAGGGTCTCGACAGAGTGGACAAGTGGAATGAGATTTAAACCACACATCAATACAATCCATATGAAACCCATGATTGCATTTTGGCAACAGCCTGGTTTTTTCACCTTGAGAGACCTCAGAAAGGCAAACTGAACATTCCAGTCCATCTTTGAACTCCTTAGGATCAAATATAACTACAGGTATGGTTTTGAGGACAGTGGGATCAAGACCGTGTCGCAGAGCTGTGACGGCTGTTACTTGGTGGCGCCGCCCTGTGGTGGTGTTCTCATGGCGGCGGTTCCAGTACCATTTTGCATAAAGGTGGGCACAAACGACACAGACCACCGCAAAGACGAGGAGTATGATTGTCACCACTATGGTCTTCCCTGTATCTTCAATCACACTTGAGTCGCCCAAATTTCCACTAATATTCGGTGAATTACTCATTTTAGTTTTTGTGCGATTTTTACTGTTGAACGACAAAAAATGGGAACTTTTGGTGCTTAGATTTTGGATTTGAACAGAATCCTGGTTTTATAGACAAAACCCAGATGAGATTCCTCTGAATTTCGCTGAATTTTGAGTGGATTCCTTAAAATTTCCGTTTTCTTGAAATTTTGATCAGAACCCACTTGGGATTTTCTTGTCCGAGTAAAAACGTGGAAAAAGGAAAAAGAAAATTCTCGTAAGAGAAATAGAGAGAGAATAATGTGAGCTTTTCTAAAAAGAATACAGGTGTTTATATGGGCAGAATTTCAAGAAAAGTCGACTTGGAGATGAAGAAGATGAGATGA